TTAATTAAAAACAGGCAAACTTTGGTTTCCTTATTGATTTTTTCGTGTGATTCGGTAATGACGGTTATCTACCCAGTCTGTTTCTGTTGTACGCACAAAAAGCAATACATGGAACGCGGAGTGAGGGTTGTGCGTACATAATTATAGGCAACCCAAATCTAGGTTCCTCGTGTACCCGACTGTTATTGTCGCATATGTATGATTGACATAGGGCATAAAACTACATATAATTGATTTTTTAACTTTATTTCAATTTCAATTCCCTTTTCAATAAAAAAAATCTGGAAATATCTTGATTATTTTAAAAAATCGTAAAAAGCGAGGACGTTTTCGGTATTTCGATAAATAAGGTCCCGTTTCGGTAGAAATACCGAAAAATCTCTACGTTCGGCAACATCGGTTACAATCTATCGAAGACGAACACCGTCCTTGAACTTTTCCATAGCGCCGGAGGGGGCGCTGCTGTTCTTATGATGACGCCAGTCGCCGTTGCCACGCCGACAAAATATTCTCCGGAACATGTTCTTTACCAACTGCTGGCAATAATATTGTAATTTATTATTGAACAATTAAGCTACTTCACTCTCATACCAGTATCATAGGAAAATATATTGTATTTCGGCGTTCATAATGCGAGAGTAGCAGATCTAGAACTAACTCTTTTCAACGTAAAGATTACCAAGTTAATTCTTGTGTTCTGCTATTGTCTCATCTCACTAGTATCTTTCAGATTTATTTTGCCGGAATTCAGTATATGGTTGGCTATATTGAGGTGGAATACATTAATCAACGCTATTTCATGTTTGCAAGTCTGTGTAGTGTCGCCACAATTTCAAGAAATTAGGAGTGAACAAAAGAAGCTACAGATCGTCCACAAATGTCGTTTTTCTTCATTCCATTGATTTCTAGCGGGTTTTGGAGAAATAACAATATTTGAATGTATCTCCAAATGCTATTCAACGTTATTCATGTTTGCGACCACTTCTCAAAATTAGTTTTCTGGATTTGCATATATTAATATATTTTAAACCAAAATTAAAAACAATGAAGATAATAATATATGAACACAAACGTATACGAATACGTAAACGTATACGAAGTGAATTCAAAACCATGTCCTTAAATTGCTTCAAGAAAGCTGTCAAATCTCATATTTACTTGGATCCATAGTCTTAATTAGATTGCTATAGACATATTGTTAAATGATTCTTCACTTCCCTTGTGTACATGTAGCAAAGCTTGGTGCAACATGTACGTATGTAATGTGTGTATATGTATTTATGTATGTACATGTGTATGTATATATGTATATTTTGTTTGATATCTGCTACTTAACAACTTGTTTTTTTTTGCATGGGTGGTTAAGTGTAAGAGTAGCATGTTGCTAAACTTCGCCACCATATGCAACTCTTGTTTCTGTATGAAGTACAGTTTAAATAAAGACGATTATTATTATTATTATTAAGTGCCGAGTGTACTAGCTCAATCTACTTATAGCAATTTTATATTGCACTCAAACAGGTCTTACATGTATTTATAATTAACCCGACTGCCTCAGAAGGAAGGATATGTTTTTTTGCGCATAGTTGTATCAAAAAATTTTTATTTCACGGGCTACAGGCCAAACGGCTTGATGGATTTTGCCATATGAGGTTCTCTTAGCAGCGAATCATGTTGGCTAAAATTTATCAAAACAAACTTGCAGATTTTAATAAAATAAATCGACCTTGAAATTCATATTTCACAGGCTACAAGCTTTAACAGCATGATACATTTGACATATGAGCTGTAGTCGTCTTAGTACAGTTGTAGTAACCGTTATTTGCGGTTACGTCATCAACGCTATATGAAATAAGTAAACAGATCTAGTCTTCGTACCATCTGCTACTCTCTCCAGTACGCATGAAATGGGCAACAGGAGACCGCTGTTTTCAATCTCTTCCAGGAATACTCTAATAAATTTAGCACGAGCTGTCGGCCTTCTTTATTAATCGCATTTCAGGGCATTGGACAATTTTATATCAAAGATTGATGACAGGACAACTCAAATTGCTCGCCGATGTCAAGTAAGTTGTCACTCTGACCAATATGATTGAAGAGCACTTCATACGTAACCACAAGTTTTCGAGACGGAGTCACATAACTAAAAAATGTATGTCTTTGAGCTTACCGAACAATCGTTCACACACAGGGATAGGTCGCATGTGTATGCATGAGGAAGATGGAGATATATAAAGGAATACTGGTAGTCTCACTTTGACCTGCTAAGAACGGTGACTACAACTATAGTACTCTGTAGTTCGAGTGGCACTAGCTGTATCTACTCGTCTGAGCCACCAGACCTAACAGACATTGATATTACAGAGACTATGACCTAAGGCCTCAGCCTCCTTAGTCCTCCAGCAGGGTCATTACGTAAAAACCCTATATAATGTCAAAAAACCAATATAATGTCAACTTGTTGACTAGATAGCTGGTAATGTGCTAATAGTTCATTCCGCCCATGATTCAAGTGAGCATGAAGTGAACGACTGCTAGTTTCTAGTTGCATATTTTGGGGAAACCTACATAATGTCATGAAAAACCTACTTAATGTCTAAAAAACTTTTCAAGTTACGTAATACCCCTGCGGACTGCCTTGAGAAGCTACGACGACGAGTAGTACTAGCTGTAATAAAATTATATAAAAACAAAGTGGCGGATTTTGATAGCAAAGTCCAACTCCGAAATTCAAGCTTTTGCTTGATATCAGCTACATTTTTCTTGATAGCACATTCTTCATTCTTTTCAGTTACTTCAGTCAGGTTTGTTTTTAAATGTGCTTGAGTAACTCCTAAAACTATTCCTGTGGTTTTGATGTTTTCAGATCTCCATTGTCTGACCGAATCAAATCACATATACGTTGTTAATTCCCTCCACTCCACGGTGACCGAAACAAATTAAAACGTTCGATCGTGACGATTTATTGACCTGAGGAAAAACGTATTGTAAATCTGGCATCATCGCTCATTATGAAAAATCACTATTGAAGAATTCGCCATTGTGGTGTGGCAACTTGGCTAGCCGAGTATCCGATTTCCTGTAATTTTTGGTAAGTTTCCTACCACGTTATCGATGATGCTCCAACAATATTGCCCTGCATGGCCACCCCAAACATTTTAAGGCTGTTATTCCTGTTTTGAACTGTAATTATATGGAATTTGAGATTTGGGGCAGGTTGCAAGCTACAACGTTCACATACCGGCATTTTGTGATGGTCCCGGTAATATACCAAAAAAACAGTGATTTTGCATGAACAGTTCTTCTAAATCGTCATCGAATAGCTGTTTTACACCCCGGTACTCGAGTACCTTTGGAAAATGCCGATTGCGGTTTTATAGAACCTTCTAGACTTCTGTTCTGGAAACTTTTTCAGCCTTTGATGAAGGATTTAGGAATCATTTTTTTGTATTGTAAAAACAGCTACAATAGCAGAGTAGTTGTAGGATTTCTGTATAAAAACGTTTTATATCCATAGATTGAACATTGTCATCTCTTTTGCCCGAAAGATTAGCCTGTAGGGTTTACAAAGGGGTCCTTCCTAGAAATAGGTACCTACCCTTTGTTAGGGCACATCTCTCCTCCCCCACTATTTCTAGGGAAAGCCAGATGTTCAGTACTCTTAGTCCCTTGCTACAGGCGTTATCGATTTTGCGTGTGTTTGTGCGGTATTTATCCGATATTAACAAGTGCAATAACTGAAATACCTCAAATTGTGATATTTATAAATCATATTTACAGTAGAGATACCAATACCACAAGTGATGGGGCAGCAAAAAACAACCTACAGTCCTGCACTGTAACTTGGAATTGGGATTTTTTGTGTACAGTACTTTTCATAAGTTATGTCTCTCCTGATAGGAGTCTCTATAGCTTTTTCTCGGTTTTTGGCGGCCACGTCACAATACTATACAAAATAATTAAGCAATTTTTTGACTGATTATGCCATGTGCATAGATTGATTTTCTTATGGGAAATTGACATTGTACAAGCTGATCTGTTATGGCGGATTTCCACCAAACAGACAAAACAGCAACAAAACAGAAACTCGTGTTTATCTCAACAAAACTGCAACTTTTCACCAACATTTTGTAGACAGGAGTCGCCGGCAACTGTTTTTGTTGAGTTTTTGTTGTGTTTTCGAAGTCCCGGTCGAAGGCGGTAACTTCAAAGGGTTTTCGCGCAACTAGCAACACAGTTGGTTTAGTGGAAACAGCTTGCGACGCGTCTCTGTTTTGTTGTAGTCTGTTGTAGTGTGTTGCAGTGTGCGCAGTTTGAATTTATTTGTGCTATTGAATACCTAGCAGTTAATTGCAGGATATGACTGAAGAAAAGAAAAAGTGGACCACAGAGAAGTGGGAAATTTAATAGAAACTTATCGCGATTGTCCAAATTTATGGAACCCCACAAACCTGGAGTATAAAAATCGAGTGAAAAAAATGGACACTTACAAACAAATAGCTCATGTATTTAAAACAACTCCACATGAAATAGAGAGGAAAATAAAAAACTTAATTACCCAGTACCAACGGGAAAGGCGCAGTTACAAAAAATGAAAAATCAGGAGCCGGTCATGTTTTCAAGGCAAAATGGTTTGGTTATAGTGCCATGAGCTTCCTTCACGACAAAACAAACCTAGGAAAGGACACAGATTGGCGTAGAATTGGAGGTGAGTAGGTATTTTGTTTTTTTTGTGTTTATTTAAAACTCTAAGCATTTTAAGAAAATTTACAACAAATAATTAAGCATACTGTGATTGCCATGGTACTTGTCCTAAGTCCGATATGAAATATTCGCTGAATTCGTCTCTAATTTCTCGGGCTTCTTGAATTGGTTCCTTGCTATTCGTCTTATAGGCAAAAGTGAGTGACATGGTTCCGGATCATTTCTCCACAATCCTCCACTTACAGTACCAGAATCTAAGTGTTCGAAATCAAAGGAGCCTGGCGGTGTATATCTATCTTTCGATTCCACATCTCTACGTAAATAATTGTGCAGCAAAACACATGTTTGAACAACTTTCTCCACTTTGTCCGGCTCTAGTAACATAGGCTTGCGAAGGACCCGAAAAACAGATGCTAGTATTCCGAATACGTTCTCGACGACTCTTCGAGCTCTACTTAGACGGTAATTAAAAATTCGTTGTCTTGACCCACGTTCTTGGTGCCCAGCATACGGCTTCATTATATTTTGTGACAAGGGGAATGCATCGTCTGCTAGTAAGACGTATGGTACCAGTTTTTCTCTTCCAGAAAGTGCCGCCTTTTGTGGCAGATTGAGCATATCTCTTTCCAATGCTTTGGCAAATCCAGTATTTTTGAAAACTCCTCCGTCTGATATTCGGCCCTGGCACCCAACGTAACAAAAATAAAATTGTAACTGGCATCGACTATGGCAAACAATACAATACTAAAGTCCCTTTATAATTGAAGAATTCACTTCCACTGTATTTTGGGGATTCTATGATTACATGTTTTCCATCCATACTGCCTATACACATCGGGAAGTTCCACATTGTATTATATCCATTTGCAACTTTTTTCCAATCCTCTGGATTTGCGGGAACCTTAAAACAAAAAAATTCAGGACCATGATCAAATGTAAGAAGGAAGAATCCGAAAGGACACGATATCTGATTTCTTGATATTGGATTTCAAACAACTGATATTATTCCTAAAATAATCTTCATTTTAAACTATACAACCCACATTTTATGAATTCAGCCAATTCAATGCGCACTCTATAATTACAGGGAAGTGATTCGTCAGATGAAGGTGATGAAGAAACCCAGTCTGATATGCAAAGCACAACCGAAGCAACGAATGAGTATGAAAGTGAAAGCGAAGTTTCAGAATGTCAGTTAACTGAGGAAATAGGCACACCTGCAGCAAATACAAGGGAAGAGCCTAAAATCGCTGCTGCAGCGTCAGTTAACAAAAATGTTTCAGTTGAGAATACAGAAAGTGCAGAATATTTTCAGAAACAAGCTTCCCAGAAACCACATGTTTTTAGTACTCCAAAAATTGGCTCAAGAAAGAAAAAAACGTGTTGAGTCTGATGACAAAAATGAGACTACGGAGGTCTTTCAGATGATGAAGTCAGTATTTGAGAACAGGCAAGTAACTACATCAAGGCGCGACGAATACGACGTGTTTGGGGAAATGGTGGCCTGCAATATCAGACATCTGCAAACTGAACATGCTAGAGTTACTGTGCAACACAAAATAAATAACCTACTATATGAGGCTCGAATCGGTTATTACAATTATCCAGAAACCATGCGAGTCGTCGTGCCATCACCTTCACCTAACAGCAGTCACACTGTATCATCTGACACCCAGTCGGCAATGACGGAGACGGAAGTACAACAAACTTGGAGTGATGACGTTTTACAAGTTGCCATTGCATCATCCTTTGGGCTGAATACAAATCATGACGATAATACAAATCAGGACATGTTTCCAAAGAATTAACCTTAAGTTACTGTACGTACTATTTGTCAAAATATATTTTCGTTGCAGTATCCTATATACAGTGTGGCCTTACCTTTATATTATCCTTTAGACCTTCGCATAGGGCACTGCAAACTTCGGGCACAATTCGTGAAATTGATGATGCAGATGCTTTACATAAATACATCAAACTTTGATAGCTGTCCCCCGTAGCAAGGAATCTTAGTGTTATAGCTAAACGGTCTTTTACGGATATAGCGTCTCTGTAATTTGTGTTTTGTTTGCGAATCTTTGCGCCGATCAGAGTTATCAGGTTTTCAAAATCAGTGCTGGACATTCTCACAAAATTATGAAACGATGATCGCAACTCGCCATGCAATCCAAAATCATCCGTTTTCAACTGAGTAAGCATTTCTGCCGCGCCATTATTTCTCTTGTAGTCAACAGCGATCTCACCCAGTACCTGTGCTGTCGACGCTTTTTCCTTTTCTTTGCTTTAGAATGCAATATAAACCATCCACATAACATGATGAAAAGATCATCTTCATGCCACATGATCAACACAAACACTGTCTGCCTAGTGGAAAGGAGTGACAACTTACACACAACTAGGACTGTAGTCGAGTCTGTTCAGTTGCAACAGCGTTTCTGATTTGGTTCTGTTTTGTTGCTGTTTTGTGTTGTCTGTCGGAGTTTTCATATTCGGAAACAAAACAGCAACTCGACGAGTCGGTTTGGTGGAAATCCGCCATTACACAGCTGCTACTTTTTCACACACACAAGAATTGGGTGATAGTGGACCATTGTTTGTGCCCACTTTCTGAAAATAGTTCTGATGTTGGCGTAGTTGTATCTTGAGGCACTACTATTTTTATATTGATATCAACATGTGCAAACAGTAGTCAAAGGTCCATTGCAAGTTTTCAGGCTGACAGTGACAGGCATAAATGTGGAAGACTCATATATGTTGATGAAAATATTTTCATGGTGGTGAGACAATACCAAAAACATATGTCTCAGTCTTCAGGTAAACAAAAGCCCACTTATAGAGGCTGATTGCATATGTATGTGTGAAAGAAATTGGTATATGAAAGTAATTCATGAAGTTCTACTGCAACCCATCAAAAACCGTGAAAAGACGTATATTTTTTTGGTTCTTTACTACCAGCTCAATAATTTTACATATAGTGTCATGAAGATACAGCTTATTTCATGAGTATCCATTATGTTTTGATGTCTGCTGAGTTGAGCAGCTGATCAGCAAGTGACATCTTTGTATTAGTCTGTAACATTGGCAATAATAAATCTGGTAAAACTCAGGACTGCAGTCAGAGCTATTGTTCACATATCTAGATACTTTCAGTGTCTAGGAATTTTGACAACAAAATATATGAAGTACATGTAGAAAAATGTTCATTAGAAAATTATTATAGTACATCTGGGATTTATTGATTATGGGGTAAGTCATTTAAACACACTGCATTGTCCTTTCCAGTAGCTGTAATTTTTCCTGTAAATATAATGTCAAAACATGTTTCTTTTTAATTGTCTGTCATCAGTGAAACATAATTCTAATACATGTTAAGTGTGTGCTGTTCTTATAAGAACACTGCAGTTGAGTACATTTCATGACTTCCTGCAATAGTTCTACATTTCACTTACATTTTTCTAATCTCCAACTTGCTAGAATTACCTGAGTAATGTTCAGGTCTAGTTCAGGGAATCGACCTCAATCAGTTTGGTCATATACTGCCACACATATTGAACTAATTTTAAGTCAGTTTCACTGCCACAAGTAATAAATACCTTATAATGAGTTATTTTTGTTTTTATATATGTATATATATTTATATATTCCGTTTAAATTTGGGATTTTATCAGAAAATTAACTCACCTTTTTATTTATAAATCCACTACTTCTTTTAAAAATATCAGTTTTCTCATTTAAATTAGTGCTTTGTGCCACCAGCACCCCAGTTCTACTGCAATGGAACTCGTGAAAAACAGATTAAAGAGTTACCGCACAAACTACCTATTTTTGTAAATCGAACAAACCGTGGAATTTCTTATGTACAGTACTGTTCATAAAACCTTGTTAACTTAAACCTTAAGGCAGCACCACTAAGGTGGACCTACAGACACTATTGGTATCATGGAACACACAATAGAAGTTGCTCCTTATTGGTTCTTCCTTAAGTTCTTAGTTAAGCCTTGAATGAATCCAGCATTTTCAAGATTGTTTTCAAGCATCTATACACATTATTTCCAAGCAGAGTAGAAAATGGCTGAAAGAAGTTTCAAAAAATCCCATGTGGATCATTTTTTTCTTGATCATTATCTTTTTAACGCAGTTAGTAGATCAGAGAAACGAAGAAATCTAAAAACCAATTTCCTTCTTTTGAATTACAGTAATTCCAGAGTAAATACAAAAATTCCCTCTACATTGATATCATTTGAACCTGTTGCTTTTGGTTATTTAGTTTCATGCATTTGACCTCGTCTTTATAGAAAAACATTATTTACAATTTAATTATAAGTATTAGACACTGTTGCTAAGTACATGTTGTGAGCTAATACAGGGTGTTTCACAACTTGTCTGACAAATATTTTACCACATATTGCACTGTTATGAAAGAAGTTGATTTCTCAAAAAAAAAAATGTAATAAAAGTCCTACAGAAATCGAGATAACAAAATAATACAGTTCACTTACTTATAAAAGCTGTTCAAAATTGTTTCCATTGACTGCATGCGCTACGCTGTTGCATGTAACACTTCTGGAACCTGTTGGGCTAACTGCCTTGTGCTTATTCCCGGATTTTCTTCCACAATATCCGAAATTTCGTCTTCGGCATTTAAAACTGTGGGCGAACCCGACCCCCATCCACTCCACGTCTGGGGCGCAAATCTCCACTAGCACGTTCACGTAAAACAATTGAACTAAATCTTTCGTGATGTGGTATGTACGTATTCGGAAATCGGTGTGCATACAAACGAGCAGCCGCTCGAGAATTTTGCCCTGCTTCTCCGTACGCTAAAACAATGTCCACTAACTCCTCATTAGTGTACACATGTGCCATTTTTATTAAAAAATAACTAAAAACATATACTCGTAAAATACTTTCTTATTTGACTTCAGAAAAATCGAGCATTCTTCATTCAGATCACCCACGATACAGATTAAACCTTATTTACACTTTATAAGTATGAAAAAAACAAAAAATTCCTGATATTTTATTTTCGTCAGTTGTTTGGTACATTTGCTACAATAAATTATTAATGCGTGTTCTAATATCACGAAAATGACCGCAAAATTCAGATATTTATTTTTCAATTTGTTATTGAAACTCAGGTTTATAACTTAATTTTTTTATTACATTTGTTTTTTTTTTGTTGATAAATCAACTTCTTAACAGTGCCTATGTGGTTAAAATTTGTCGGATAAGATGTGAAACAGCCTTTATAGTCCAGGGCACATCTGCCTGAATTCTCTGAAACATTCATTTTTATTAAATATGGCAATTTGAGGATACCATAGGTGAATATCACACAATCTGATTCTCTCAGTGTCGGTTCTACACAACCTTATGCATCAATAATTACTGTTGGATTACAGTAAATACTGGTTGTGTGACATTCATCTTAAGGCTTACATTAAAGCTTTTGCAAAAGTATCTACAACCAGTTGTGTTTTGCAATCTTTTCTCATCATAATAAAAATTCTCATCTGAAATTTTTTCATATTTTATATGGGTTTTTGTTAATTTTTGGTGATATGTGTGTCAATCAAAATTTTTGACAAACCCTTGTTGAAGCCAGAGCTGCACTGTATTCCTTGTCACATAAAATACTCAGTGTTCAATGGGGAATATTAATGATGTGAGTATAGTATTTTTGCGTTGGTTTATTAATATCTAGCTATTAAAGTCAGCATTTATGTCCTTTGGCATGTTAAAACTTGAGGTGCTCCTTGTTTTGGACTCTTAATTTCAAGAACTGCTGTTAAGTACATAAATAACTTTTATGACTGCCACATTGCCATTTTTTCTTCAGTCTAATCAGATGGAACAACCTGGCAACATGACCATAATGCATCCAGGAACTGGTCCAGCACATCCTTCAACTACTGCAGGACCGGTGGCTCCAGGCACCCTGCCTGCTACTGGGGGTGGAAATCCCAGGAGACCTAAGAACCCCAGACATGCGCGTGCTGCTGCTGAGGGGGCTGGAAACCTGCAGACTGAGAGACTTTCCTTGGCTGAAGAGGCTAAGTTGGTAAGTGACAAAAATTGATAGTCTAAAATTATGATAATTAATCTACAAAATGAAAAAAGTACCACATTTAAAAAATGTAATGTAAATGTAATTTGTATGTTGGTTCCTCATACAGGAAATAGAATCAACAGTTAAAGTTACCATCCTCAGCGTGATACTTAATTATACTAGAAGAGCGCATTCTTGAACCAAATTTAAGTATAAAAGTTCATATAAACATTCATCCTAAAAGGATACAGTGTCAGTTGTTTTTTTTTTTATTGACATCTGAAAGATCCTCGTGCTGATATTGTTGAATTTTAGCAGTATTGTTCATTGGCTTTAAGACACTAAATAGAAGATAGTTATGAATTCCAGTGGCGTCTTGTAGGGCAGTCTCATGAATAATATTGACAATAAAAATGTATGCCATGAACTACATACATGTTGTGAACTAATACATAGTGTTTCACAACTTATCCGACAAATGTTTTACCACATATTGCACTGTTATGAAAGAAGTTGATTTCTCAAAAAAAAAAATGTAGTAACAGTCCTACTGAAATCGAGATAATAAAATAATACAGTTTAACAAGTTCACTTATAAAAGCTGTTCAAAATTGTTTCCATTGTTTTTGTTTTGTTTTTTGCCCGGTTAGGAGAACATTTTCTCGTATCCGCGTCCGTTCAAGAGAATGTCCATCCAAGAGAGTTGATACAATGCAAATTATATAAGAGTCGGTTGGGACCATGAAAAACTGTCCGTTCAAAGTTGTCCGCGAAGGGGAATTTCACTGTATATTAGATTGGCTTACAAATAAATATTGTGCATGGATCAAATTGAACTGATATTATTATTTAAATAATTTTTCGACATGGAATAAATTCGATTTTGTTTTATTCTTTGAAAACCAAGTAAAATACAAAAGGGTGATATCTTTAGCTGCTTAATTCGATGAAATGTAATTTTAATAAACCCAATGGGGTACATTTTTTGCCAATATTATTCGTGACACTTTCCCGAGACCCCACTGGAATTCACAATTATCTTCTGGTTAGCGCCAACTCAGCGTTTTCTTGCAATGAATAACACTAATGACTAAATATCTGAAACTTATCCTGTGGTTTTCATGCCGATAATCCTCCATGTTTATCTGCCCAAATCAAACTACATATGTGGTTGACATACAAACATGAGGGATTATGAAAACACTGTCTAAATCCAACAACATCCGCACATGAATCTTTGAGATACTAAAAAAAAAACAGACATTGCTGATCTTGGAAACCAGACTTATTAGGACACATGTTTATATGAACTTTTCTACGTTAGGTTCAGGAATGCGCCCTTGTAATTATGGCCTCTCATTAACATCCTGTATACATTTTTTTGCCTAAGCGAACTGTAGTTTCTAAAATCGACTCACTTCCAGGAAATGGCGGCAATGCCCAGCAAAACCCCAGTCTCTGTCCTACAAGAGCTCCTCTCGCGTCGCGGCGTCACCCCCAAGTACGAGCTAGTACAAATAGAGGGCGCTATCCATGAACCGATCTTCCGGTATAGGGTGTTCTTGAGCAACGAGCTGGTTGCTACGGGCACAGGTCGCTCCAAGAAGGATGCCAAGCATGCTGCTGCGAAGAATCTGCTGGACGTTCTTACCGGGAAGATGACCTCGGAGCAGGCGAATCAGAGCAATGGAACTCCCGGAGCGGCTGATATGTTAGTATTTATTGATATTTTTGTTATTTTGAACGTCTTAATCCACAAAATACTACTAACCATTTGATCCATTGGATTACATTGCCAGTAAGCTCGCTACACAGATTTCAATTTTATGCCTTTTTTGGTATGCTCAGTGATTTTATTCGGATTTTTTCGAGCAGTTAAATGAGAGAATGAGTAGCACTTAGGTAAGTTTGAATTTTTGTTGGTTCAGTGCTATTATGTAATTTATAACATCAACTATATGCAAGCAATTAGCAATCATCAGATTGAGTTGGACCTGAACAGGTGCATTAATAAATGAAAGCGATCTAACGTAATTGGAAGTTTCCAATCCTCTACAATGCTCAAAATTCCTTACCGGAACTTGCATCTAAAGGTCGTCTGTTACTATACAAAATTGTATACATACTTCTGTAACAAACTTGTTTGAAATTAATTCTCAAGTTTCAAGAATTTCGTACGAAATCATGCGCATTTGGATAAAAGTGATACAATGTTTCTGTCAGCTTCAAGCTCTCTTTTTGTTACAATGTCAGACCTCTGTTTTAACCACACCACACTTTGTTGCGTTCAGTAAAGTAGTATAAACGAATCCTACGAATTTAAGAATTTCAAATATCTGCGAGAATCCATCGTCGCATTACCAACAAGTGCCATAACCTTTTTGCTATTAGTCTGGTCTCATTTTATAGGTCACATAAATACCTAAAAAAAGTTTCTTCGTTCCTGTCAATACTTTCGATTGAATCACAAAAACACGTTTTCTCATTCTTTGTTGTCAAATTAAAAGTTTTCCCACAAAAATTGGTGTACCCATTTTAAATACCCCCTTGAACAACTTGCACCAATAGAACCAGACTTACAATTATTCTGGGGAAAATTTCTAATATGATTAGACTAAAGTCTAACCCTGGTTTCAAATGATGGCGTCTTTACCGGCCACTGTACAGTCAAGATGTGCACTGTGCATTATGCCTCTGCGTTTTTTTAGCACCAATTTAGAATAGGTTCTCAAAAGATATACACTAAATTTGTACTTTCTAATACTATACTCAATTTTGTAGTATGTTTAATTCTGTAGAAAACTTCCTGACAGACAGGCTTTATATTGGAATCTATTAATATAGATCATCGACGCACGTGCAAATGTTATTCAGTATAAATGATTATAATGATTAGGTATTTAGATTCCTTGCAGCAATACCCCTTCATCTTTGTCTGATAGAATGCTTGGATACAAACAGCTCAAGTTTTCCATTTGCCCATTTTTTCAAAACCCCTATTATTGTCACCGGAAATTAAGGAGAGGGAAATTTTACATTCAAGTAAGTTCTTGTTTGGTCAACAGATCTGGAAAAATATGCTACCTAGAAAAATGTTGCCAAGTTGCAGTTTTAAACGGGTTATCTATACCCCGTTCGTAGTCCATTTACGCCCAGACAAAACACAAGATGCCCAAAAGCGAGATTGTACAGGTCCGTATTTTCCTCAATTACAATTCTTTATTCGCTAGAAGTACTTGAATCATTAATAATATTAATAATTACAGGTTCGATTTTAATATCGATCATATTGTCCAGATCCCACATCTTTGTTTCGATTGTCTTTTGAACGTGACGGATGAAATATTTCCAATGATTTGCCGTCACTCTGTTGACAGCTGCATAAAACAAATTTTCACGTCAGAAAATGTTCTATTGTTTGAAGCCACATAGTTTTTTATATTTGCCCAAATCATTTCAATCAGAATTAATTCGCAGTGGGAATTTTTTCTAGTTTTCTAGTGTGGTATGCAGCATTATCAAGTACAATGACGCCATTGTGGTCAAGCTTTGGGAGCGTTTCTTCAAACCATTGTTCAAATGAACTCCCACAAAGCCATCTTCACTGCCAATGTGACAGATAACAAATCGTTTTCATTTTCCTGGAAATAATTATATAGTAAAGAAAAGTAATAATAATAATACAAGCAGAGTATCTAACAGGTGTTGGTTCTAAATAAGTTTAATGTAGCTAAGTTTTCATCGTGGGCTCATAGGTTCAGTCTACTTGACACTATTTTTACAACACAAATGACGAATTGCTTAGATACACGTACCTGACGGATTCTTTAGGCCAGTGGTTAGTCCATCTGAGAAGGCGTGTCTTGCTGATTTAATTGTAAAGTCAGCCCATAATTTAGGTTTTGTATGTCCTGCATTTATCCAGATTTCATCCAAGTAATAAGTCTTCCTGCCGTGGTCGCGGTATTTAATAATAATAGTAGCGTTTATTTGCAAAGCAAAAAAATACAAAGAGAAAAAATAAAAAAGATGAAACAACATGAATTTCCTGCAAAAGTGACTAACTAGCAAACAGACGAGCTGATTAAAGTACTAGCCCAACAAACAAAATTACAACAGAAGAGTTCTTAACCAAATTATATAAGTTAATATTAATAAATAATAATTACAAACGTCAAAAAAAATATGTATATAAAGAAATTATATAAAAAAATATAATTTAACGAAAAAGTTCAAATCACTTTAGGCAGATTTAACAAAAAAAAAAACATTTAAAATATAAAATGGAATGGAACAATATAAATTAAACACTACAATTCATCCAATAGAAAATTTCTGTAACTTCTTTTAAAAGCTGACACAGACATAGACTTAAGGTTTGTGGGGAAGTGATTGTACAAGTGGTAGATAAAATGAGAAAAACATTGTTAGACATAGATGTATGATGACGTGGTTGGGAAATCAGCTTCCGATACCGAACATTGATATTGTGAACATCACTTCGAAATGTAATCAAGGCGGAGTTTTATATAGAATAATTTTATGAAACAAAACTGCAGAGTACAGATGTCTCCTGGCCTCCATATTTAGCCATCTTATTACAGGTAACTTATAAGAAATATGTTCAAATTTTTTCACTCCAAAAATAAACCTAAGACAAGAGTTTTGGACACGACGCTGTACACGATCAACATCATCCCTTGTTATACAAGGCCCATAAACTGAGTCGCAATAATTGAATAATGACAGAACAAGCGTGTCACAAAGCAAAGCCTTTAGTTCGGTAGAAAGATATGACGACGTGGAAATAACATTTTGAGCCGACCATAAGCACGGTCAATGCACTTATCAACATGCTTTGAAAACCTCAGGTCACTATCCATAATCAAGCCTAAATTCCTAGTAGCGCATGTATGAGGAATAACATTATTATTAATTGAAATATGGAATTAATCTGCCACGCTATTTTTGTGTTTCCCGAACAATAAAACATTTGACTTATTTATAGATAACTGATATGCTGTGCTTTCATTTGTCAAATTACTAAGATCCTCATTTAATAATGTAATCGCAGTTGTTTTATCTGTATGAGAGAACGAAAATTTTATCTGGGGATATCTCAAACTACTAGTAATATTTACAGAGAATACTGAAAAAAGTAATGGACCTAAGATAGAGCCTTGAGGTGTACCCCACACAGAAACACCCCGGTAGAGGTTATGACAAACTGCGTCCTCTTCAAGAAATATCTTTTGAATAGTTTAATAGCAACGGAACGGCCCGTCCCATGTATTTTAAAATAGAAAACATTAATTGGTGATTAATTGTATCAAATGCCTTTGTGTAATCAAGCAATACAAGAGCCGCTGTATTGCCGTTATCCCTGATAATTTCTAACATCTAGAAGCGCTGTCGTGCAACTAAAACCCTTTCGAAACCCTGTCTGAAATGAAGGCAGCAAATCATAATTATCTATATGAAGCATTAACTGAAATTTCATCATTTTTTTCCAGAACTTTAGACAGCACCGGTAATATAGAAATTAGACGAAGATCCGACAAGCTAGATATAGTGTCTTTCTTTGGCAGAGGATGAACTTTTACAACTTTCCAACAGTCTGGAAAAGTATTTTCTACTAGGCAACAATTAGTAATGTGCTATGCTTGGTAAAATGAGCGGACAGCATAAATGTAGCATTTCTATATTAATACCATCCGCCCCAGTTGCAAGAGTTTTTATTTCCTAAAGATATTTATAAACAATGGAATCATAAACAGGTTCAAATTAAAATAAGCGAACAAATCCTTACGGAAATCGCTAGTGTAAAAGTGAAATTTTTCAGGATCAGGATCAACATTGTTTGATGACTAAATCAGAAAATACTTATTTATCTCATTTGGGTCATCAAACCGTGCAGGTATATTTGGCGTTTTAAACTTGCCAGCAATATCTAGGCTTTACAATTTCTTCCAGATTGTTAAAAGAATACTTAAAATATGATTTTTGTTCAGCCCTAACAGCTTTGGTGGTGAGATTCCTCATTTGTTTATAATAATCCCAATGTTCCGGCAAACTGGTCCTTTTGAATTTTTGAAATATCTTGTCACGAAGAGACATCATTAATTTATCATTGGCGGTTAACCATGACGGCTTAAAATGTTTAAATTTAATCTCGGTTAGCGGAGCTAAAGTGTCAAAAATATTAAGAATAATACTATTTCAATATAGTACTTTTTTCATTTATATTATTTATGAAAAATGAGTCAATAAAAGGGGAAATTGCAAACATTCTTCTAGAATACCCTTATCTATATTTTTAAGCTTTCTAACATATTTACTACTCTCCGTTGCAACACATTTTAAATTCAAAGTACAATACACAACAAATGATCAGACACATCAATATCTGTTGTTCCTTTGTCAGATACATTTAAATCATTAAACACCAGAATGACATCAGTAAGAGAAGCAGAAGTATTAGTGATACGAGTGAGCGAATTAACTAATTGAGATGAATTAAAAAGTTCAATACAGTTATGAAAGGCCTCATTTTGATTGTTCTGAAAGTTCAAACAATCAATATTGATATCTCCACCAAAAATGATAGTACCAGAATTTAAATAAAGCTCAATGATATTTGCTTCGAGATTAAGTAGGAAGTCACATACATTTTTACTTGGTGGCCTATAAAGTGTGCCAAACGTCAAATACTCTTTATTTATACAAAATTCTAATCAAATTTGTTCTGCTGCTTTGCTATAGAGAATGTTTATTGTTTTACATTTTATATATTCTGCTATGTAAATTCCTACACCACAGCCTCTACTCGCTCTATCTAACCTGAAAAATCTATAACCATTAATGTGAATTGGGAATCCCATTATGCAACCACGTCTCACAAACACCAACTACATATATCAAATTTCTTTTCTAACATAAACTGTTTAAATTCAAAGAAATTATTTGTAAGCGATCTTACATTAATAACAGCAAATGATAAATCTTCCATAAAAGGTAATGGATTCAATAAAAAACTAACATATATAATTGAACTTTAATTTTTTTAAATTTCCTGTCTGCTAATGATTTGATCCTCATTGCAGCTTGCCCATCAGCCTTCCTGGCATAGATCTGGCCATTTCTGCATCAAACATATTTAAACCCAGAAATCTTCAATTTTCTTGCCTCTTTATAAATCCCTCTAGTTTCCTTTGGAAGATCTTCATTAATAAATATTCTAGCTTGTGAATCACAGATGCTGTAGTTTTGATTGGCCAGTGTTCCTTTTTCTCTTTTCTATAACCGTATTACATTGTTTCCACCACATATCCAATTTCGAAAAGACTTTTTGACGTTTTCATGGATATTCTGATTTCTTTTAATTCCTGTAATAATCACCCTTTTCTTCCTAGCTTAATCTTTAAAAACCTTTTTCTTCAAAGTTACTACCTCCTTCTCCAGTTCAGCAACAGGACTCTTAAGATTCTCTTGTGTTTTTCGCAACTCACGATTCTCATCCGATATAGCTTTTATTGTTCTTTGTAACTCCTCCATCACTATTAAAATTAAAGGCCTTTTCTACTTCTGAAAACTTCTGTTGTATAGTTTTCATTATGTCTTTGTTACTGGGATCATCCATTGGTACGGGATCAGACGCGTCTGACTGATCTGATGATGAAGAATGCCTGTTCTACCACATCTACCACACAACCACTTCTGATCAGTCTTACGCTTTCCATAAACCAAATATTGCTCGTCCGATAGCCTATGGTACCATCCACCGCACGTCCCAGCACATTTCAAACTATATTGTGTATTAGTTATATTATTTCTACATTTACCACATTCACAGGTCTTGAACTTGTCTTTTGTCATATTGATCCAAATCGCCCGGACTATATAATACAGGCTTCTAAATAAAATTCCAGAAATAACTATTTTCATTAACAACACTTTTGTAGCCTGGTATACATGTTATAAACGAGATGGCTATATTCAAATTGCTTGCAATTTCTCGCAAATAAATGCACATAACTCAAATACTTCCGAAAAATTTCGCTCCTCGCACCACCAAGGGAGACTGTAAGAAAAAAAATAAATTAATCGCTGGTTTTAGACCCATGAAATTTGAGAAATACCAGAGCAATTCTTTATTGATTTTAAATAATTTCTTCACCATAAAATAATCTCTTGTTGTCATCAAAATACTATTTCTGTCCCGTTTTCTGTATTCAAAATGATGTGCTTTAAGTAAACTATAGAATGTGGTCGTTTTGAAAGTAGGTCTTCATCACTATTAACCTCCTGTAATACTTTGTCCATGGTGGGAAGTTCCTGCCTTTCAAAAATTGATGGACTTTGCGTCTGATGGCATTCCGATCAAGTTGTGTAGTGGAGACAATTTTTTGTTTTTTTATATTTTTTAACAATGTTGAAAATTGTCTTTGGACATAACCCTGTCTTGTCGCTACACGTCGTTCAATATCATGAATTTTCGTTTCAGGATACGCCTAAATGTCTCTCTTATAAACGTTAAGCACAATGTCTTTGGCCTGGATATTCAAATGTCCCTTCTTGTCACGTTTTCGAGGAGGAGACATCACTCAAGAGGAAGCATGGCTGAACGAAGCATTGGGAGAAATATTCTCAGTTTCATTTGCTGTATCCTTAGACGACATGCTTATAAACACAAGCTATGTATGCACCGAATATGAGCAGCAAGTGCCGGCGATATCCCGAGCCTGAGTTATATCCCGTCGAATCATGCTGCCGCTTTGCCGCGCTGCATCTTTGTTGTGCCGGGACGTAAATGGACTACGAATAGGGTATAATGGTGACGTTTAACGTGACCTGACCACGACCTTGAAGGTTTACGTTTCCGGTGACAAAAATACGGATTTGTATTGACCTTCCAATGCTCTTGAAGGTCATATGCAAGGTCATGTTCCAGGTTACCGTTAGATTGACCCTTTCCAAACCTTAGGCCTTTGTTCTACATGTTTCGATAGCCTGTAGATCACATGCTTTGTTGTTACAAAGATCTTTTGTTGTTTCAGCACCAGCCAAGTTGTCTCACCGTACGACGACAAAGTGATGGGCAACCCGATTGGTTGGCTCCAAGAGATGTGTATGTCCAGAAGGTGGCCACCACCATCCTATGAGATGGAACATGAGGAAGGATTACCGCATGAGCGTCAGTTCACTATTGCATGCCAGGTAATCTTTGGTTTAACCATTGGGTAACAAATTCAACCAGAAGATACCAAATTTGCATTGCCACCTCTCGGACTGGTGCCGCAGATGATAAGATTTCCATTTCCATCATTCAGAAGTTGTCAGAATACAGAACCTTAGAAATAAGCATTCTAAGAGAATTACTCTGTGTTCTTAAGGTTGGATAACTTGAAAAATATGTAAATATTAGTAGCAGACTTTTAAAATGATTTATGAAATGCGTTTTGCTGGATGGTGTACGTATGTTTATTATTTTTCATTTCTTTTTTTTTCCTAGGTGTTGAAATTCCGTGAGATAGGCACCGGCAAATCCAAGAAGTTGGCTAAGAGGATGGCTGCGCACAAGATGTGGCAGACGTTGCAAGATATGCCAATGGAAGGAAACAATCTACCAGTTGTTTTTTTCAGTGAAGATGACGTGAGTCTCCCAACATTTTATTTTCATAATTCAAAAATATTTAACATCATAGGTCTTTGACTGCATCACATTTTATTAATTTTTATAGTACAGTTGTCAGAGATAGAATTTTCATGTGACGATGAAGCCGTATATTCCAGAAACAGGCTTTGAAAATCACATTTCAGATTGGTTTCTGAAATTTTTAATAGACGTTTGTGCTATATTGGTATTTTTACTGTCTTTCAGAAGCCACAGCTAAAATTTTGGGTATTTTTTTTTTCATGGTTATATACATAAGGTCGTTGTGTGTTTTGTGTAACTTTGGGACTATTTTGCTTCGCTTTTTCATATATGTTTTCATTTGGCTGAGAGGAATGAAAGAAAGTAAAATCCTCCCTAGCACATTCAGATCAGAGTAGCATTGAAATTAAGAATTATATGTAAAAATGTAAGCTACACATCTCTGTCCTGGTCTGTTGCAGTTGGTGGGCAAGCTAAGCAACATTCAGGGCAGATACGTGGGCCTGAAAGACAGTAAAATATCCAAGCTGGGTAGTCAACAGTCCCACAAGGTCTCTCAGTTCCACAAGACTTTGAAAAACTCCAGTGGGAAAAACCTTTCTGAACTACAGTAAAATCACATAAAATCTTTACTGTGTATATTTTTCCCAATTTTTTTAAGCCTATAATTTGAAAAGTACACGACTTGGATTTTTTAATTTTTTTAATTATTACACCCTGTATAAGTTTTTTACGTAATAAGCCTGCGGCACTACTAAGGTTCAATACTACCCTTTGTTGCTGGCCACTTTAAATAAGTTGCCTTATTCTTGTGAAAATTTTTGAAATAGCGACGATATACAAAGATAAAGTACATTTCAGCAACTTTCACTTGTTTGATGGTGTACCATCGCCTTATATCAAATTTCTTCTCTTCTAAGACCTAAGACATAGTAAATTCCGAAATACGGGTGCGTTATAAATAAATCAAATAATATCATTCATTTGCGCCACCCTGTACAATGAAATGAAAAAAAATACGTTAGAAAATACAATTTTTCTGCTTGTTCCAGTCTATTGCCTTGTGCGCAAAGGACTTTAACTTTGTCCAATTCCTGCAAGATATTGCAACCGAGCAGAACTTCGAAGTAACATATGTGGACATCGAAAGAAAAAAACCCTCAATGGCCACTGCCAATGCTTGGTGCAACTGTCCACTCTTCCGGTCGCAGTATGCTTTGGAACTGGCAAGAGCCCCAAAGATGCCCAAGCACATGCAGCCCATTTGGCTCTCGAATATCTAAAGATCATGACCAAGAAGTGAAGAGGTTGAACATGCTGGTCTAACTGTAAGCAAAACAGTGCTTTTTGGTTTATGCAAACTCCCCTAAGGGGGAGTTTGTTATTGTAAAGGGCGCCCCTGCCCTTCATTTACCCCCTTAGGGCGCTTTTGGTTCGTTTCTGCAGCGGGCGGTACACGGGTTGTAGTCGGGTTGTTTCTGGCGGTTACTAGAATAGCATTTTTTACTTTTGAGTTTTTTATAGAGAAGCATGAACTTTCGTATATATATTGGTGTCTACAATATTGAAGCTATTAGACCCAAAGTGTTTTATGAAAAAAGTGTTTAGTTGTCTAAAGATATCCTGACATTGAAAAGCGCATTTCGTAATTTCGCGTGATTTATATCGCCGCAGCCACCGATAATTTGGCCTCTTATTAGAGTTGTTAAATGCCAGTAATGCCAAAGAATATCTCGCTGAGTGGCAACATTTCTGAGATATTGGACCCAGGAAATTGAGATTCATTTCAAGTTTACGTACCCGTTTATGTTGTTGCAACTCCAATTGACATCTATACCATTTCCGAGATCTCGATGCGTATAATTGCCAAAGGTTATTCATTTTTTATTCTAGATGCAACAATTTTATCGAGTTTAGGTATTCATAACCCAATTATCACGTTTTATCTAATTTTTAACATTTTGCACTCGGTTTATGCTATATTTTTCTCGAAACCTAAAAGAAAACGTGGTCGCAAGTCTCAAGCACAAGACGAAAATATGGTATATCGAACGGTATAGTGGAGAATTGAGCAGATTCGGAGATTGAGGTAATGCCGAAAAAGAGAAAAGGTCGGTAAAGCCTCGGGAATCAAAGAAGGATGAGGCATCTTTGGTTCGAAAGTCTGGCGATTCTGAAGATTCATTGGAGAATAAAAGATGAAAAAGATGACCCTGATAAAGATACATTGACTTCTGCTGGAGGGTGGTGGAAACTGCTTCAGAGGGCCAACAATCAAAACGAGGCAAGATGTCTACACCGAAAGAGCCCAAAAGCGGAGATGAAGATGATGAGAAATGAGAAACATAAATCAAAGGAAGGCAGAAAACCCAGCACATGAACATTCCATTGCTTCAGTTAGAGATGAGAAGAATGAGAGCAGTGTGAGATAGATGAGAAAATGGTGACTTGATAAGTGATTTCAGAGCAAAGAAAAGCAAAAAAGACTACCACCGCTTGCCAAGATAAGAAAAAGGGAGGCTCCGAAATTGCAGAGGAGGACTAGGACGAGAAAAAGAAAGTCGACCAAATATTGAACGTGTACTTCGAACAAGACGACACTGAGAAGTTCGGGTCAGCTGAAGGATTCAGCTCTGCAGACAATAACTGGGAGTTGTTCGACAATACGAATAAGGTGGGAAAAGCGCGACAAGTAAAAAGTTACTGATTCATGTTTGGACTATTAAACTGCCTTCGTGTTGTACAACAGTAACACAGTAATTCGGGTCACTCCGACTCAGAGTGTGTTGTAAACATGACACAAAACAAGTCGGCAACACAAAAAGGTCTTACACACCGGAAAATGCAACAAAATGAACAATGCAAACTACACGGAGCACTTGGCTTTAACACATTTGAGGTATGGGACATTACCTACATATCCGTAGGTCATATGTCATCAGATTTCAATAATAGATGAAAACATTCACTTTTTGCCTTCTGTTTTATAAAATTCATGTTTTATTTCATTCTATTCGCAAGAAGCAACCTGAAACCCGTGTACCGACACAACAGAAAAATGCATGAAAAGGGATGGATAGCACTTAATTTACAAGCTATACTTTGCATAGAATTAGTGGTTTTTTTCGAGATTTTTCTGCGACAATTCAATCGTTAATTCTTTTTTATTTTTATGTTGTCTCTGAAAAAAAATTGTCAATGTGCGCCACACGGTGAGCATTAGATTTAATACAGCCTTCGACAAAAGTATGCAGAATTACGTTACCTTGAAATGTGAAAAGGTAAAAACTTCAATTTTTTTTCTTTTTATATTTCAAGGTACACTTCTCATTTTGGCCGTGTTATTTAAGTTTAAAAAAATAATGACTTGATAAACACAAATACTTTGACGGACGCTGTAAATCGCGCGATGTCTTTGTAACAAGAGACAAACTTGTGCGGCACTCTTAGATATATATAATATATATTTAAATGTTTAAAAGGAAATCAAGTATAGTAGTAAGCTTAGAACTTTTTACATATATATTATTTACTAGGCGGTAGTTTGTAACACAAACTTCAACCTTTTCGTCCTCTACTATCCGCATGGACGATAGTGGTACGATTCCACTGTACAAATTGTTGCGCAACATGTTGCAGTGTTCCATTCCTACAATGTGTCACCACATGTCGCTGGCCCTTTTGTTAGTGGGAACATACCTTAACGCTGATAATTTCTTTTTTGAATGTCTCTTCCTCTTATATAACTCAAATATTATGTATATGATATAATGCAGTGCCCCGACAACATGATATGTATTGATTATAATATTGTGAAAAGGGAGCATTTATTTGATGCAAAGTATAGAGGTTGTACCGAAACTATTTTTTTTATCTTATTTGTTCAATCTCGTGTATGGAATTGTATTTCTGTACACGAAAATGTACCGGGTACACCCTAGCATAGGCCACGCAAAAATTTCACAATTAGACCTCAAAAAGTGTCAGATCTAACTAATCATCCGATAGAAAATAGATGACGGTTTCTTCAACAGTCCCGTTGAAAGTAAGCATGGGTTAAGCAATGTCAATTCTTAAGGGTAAAACAGTATTGTTTAAAGGAATAGCTGCGATATCCTATAAATTAATCTTGTTATCACCTACTAATATGACCGGTCGACTCTACAAAAATTATGAAAGTTTGAGGTTATGGGAATAATAACTTATTGTCCAAAATGCCATTGTAAATGTGAGAAATCTGATCATATTTGGTAGTTTGTTGGTTTTGGGTGTACCGCTGATCTATACACAAAGAAAAATGTAATAATTAACATATATGTCAATAGAAAATTTTTAGACGCACCGCACGTGTAGACATAAAGATAGCATGAATCTATATGGAGTGTCGTCTAAAGATGCATAGAGGTTTAGGTTTGTTTTTGAAATAGCTGATAAGTTTAATCATCTATACCTGTAATATTATATTGATGTGTATGCTAATTAATAATAATTCCTTGCTTAGGCCAAGTAATTTTATTTCGATAATCCATGCCAACCTTAGCGCTCTGTTGCTCTCTCATTCCTTTCTTCTTTTTTTCTCTTTCTGACCGTCTAATATCTGGTCAACCAGAACTACTGACCTACAAGATTTAACCAAAAGCAAAGATCCTACGTTCCGATTTGACAGACAAAGCTGAAGAGATTTTCGCAAGCGATTGCAGATCAATTAGCAGTTCAAGCTTGTCTTCGCTTTTATGTTGAAAAAAACGTATTTGAAATACCATACCTTGAAAGACAACTTTCTATACAGTGTGGCCGATATACAGGGTGACTTTGAAGTTGAGTCATTAATTTTCAGATAATGATTGTAGAAGGAAGATAAACCAAAATATGTGTGTAAAAATAAAAAAAAATGTTTACCTTGTTTATAAAGTATCCTCCCGACAAGTATTTCAGTGCGGACCTGTATTTGATCGTGAGGTCTTGGAGCACCGGCATGCCGTCCGTATGTGAGGTCTTAAGTCAAATGATTCACGAACCCGTTGTACTACATTAACAAAGGCACGAGGGGTTGGTTGCACTCGATTGGGAAACCGATCCGCATAAACATGTGCCATTTTTTATTTCGTTTGAGCCACGCAACACACCACTATCCACTACGACTGACTGACTGTATACAAATGAATGAAAATATTGTAAAAACATCGTTCCAAATTCTTTCGCTTTTTTGTTTCCGATGCGATGAACCGATAAGGCGAATTATATCCGTTGTCGCCAAACACGAGCACATAACATTATTATTGAGACAGGGCGGTACTCAAACTTCCAAAGGGCTATAGCTTTGTTACTTTAATTTTACCAGAAAAATGGTAAAGGAAAAAAACATTTCTTTTGATCAGATCTACTCACTGTTAAAATAAATGACTCAACTTCGAAGTCACCCTGTATATCTGCGATGATAATAGACATCTATGCATGATAGATTAAAATGCTCGAAGTTTATTTTCATTTTCATCCTATAGGTGAACTCTTACGAACGGTAACCTTGCCATTAATAACGAATTCGGCTAATCGATCTCGATCAGTCACAAAATCGGCGTTCACTAAAGATAAGGAAATGTCAAGTTAACTAATTATTTCTAAATTGAATGCCGTGGAACGTACACTTGACACACTTCGGTTCTTTGGTAAAGATCTCGAAGGAACAAGCATTCTGAATGCTTAAAATATGCCTGAAATAGTAACAAGCCACTATCTTGGTTTAAATTATTGATTTTACATTATACACTGAGAACCAAATTTATCTGACGGCCTGAGTTCAATGTGTACGAGAGAGAAGAGTGTTTAGACACGTATGTTAGAAAGAGATAGAAGCCGGCTGACGCGGCAATGCGCCGCGTTGCAAGTATGTTACACTAGTTGAATGAAGATGAATATTGAAAATATGCGTCAGTTTATTCTTTATGCCCAAATAATAATAATAATAAATCGTCTTTATCTATAAATTTACCAATGTAAATACATGTAATTAGCATGTATATATACAGTGACTAACCAAAGGAAAACAAAAATATTGCAAGACATAATATAGAAAATATATTACAGATTCAGCAACACGTCAAATAAAATTTTTCTGGCGGTTACTACAGTATATTCATATAAGAGATAGACCGGACATAAACAAGACCACGTGATCATCGAACGCTGTAACATTCGGCAGGGACGTATTAAGAGTCACGCAGTACATATTTTAGATAGTAGATGCTGCTTTGCGTAACTTTGTAGTAAATTAGCACAATTCGATGTGTATACGATTGGTGATGGATATAGGATCATGTGGGGGTGGGGTAAGAAATATATATGATGTAAATATACATAAGGGTTTCAAAATTTTCGCTTCGATTTCCAGCTTCGGATGCCGCCTGATGTTTGGT